ACCTTTTCAGGGAACTTTAAAAATTTGAAACTTGAATATTTCAATTTCCTCAAGGATACCAGGGTGGCATCATCCGGATTCTGAAACTACACATATTGAATATATATAATACACCAAAAACCTATATTTCAATATATTACACACCTTTTTAGGGAACTTTAAAAATTTGCTGCCAAAATAAGTCTCCATTTTGAATTTGGCCCCCTAGCAGAATTAGCCATCACATTTAGGACGAATACAAAAGCTCATTGGATTCAGCGGGTTGAATTTTTATAAAACCCATCTTCAAACCCAGGTTCGAGAGAATCTGTCACATATTTTACCCCACTAAATAACCAGAAAATGTCTCATGGCAGCCATCTTGAATATTTAAATTTCCCCAAGGGTGCCAGGGTGGCATCATCCGGATTCTGAGTCTACACATATTGAAGATATATAATCTACCCAAAAACATTTGGTGGACTATACTTCTATGTGGAAATATGGGCTCCTGAATTCAGCATTCAAGATACATTGATAACTTTCAATAATGGCAAATATGCTCATTGCTCCATTTTGTAGAAATTACTAACTTGACATCACCTTATGACTACTGGTTCGATTTGTTTCACACAAAGCATTTATATATTGGTAACCTAGGTCATATTTTAGCTAATAACTGATCTTTTACATGTACACAGTAAGACGAGCCGCACATTATAAAATGTCAAGTGTGTTAACATGTTTATGGTCGGACAGCATGTCATGCTATTATGATCAAGTTGACCATATTTAACAAACGAAGCCGTCAATAATCTCGACTTCGACAATATTCATTATGGTCTATTGATCAAATCAGCAAAATACTATCTAATTAATCCTATAACTCATTATACAGCTGACTAATGTAGTTTTATACAAAACTAAATAATTACTCATGAATGTTACATGTAACAGACTCTTGACAGTAGGAATTTTCAAGCAGGTGGAAATGCAACTGTGTGGGCAAAATTCTCATTATTTGACACTGATAAGTTATGAGCATACTATATAAACCAGGAACTGACATGACGTTATCATATCAAAAACCAAAGTCTGTCAATCGATCCACAATTGTCCAAGGAACACCAATTTCCAGTTTCATTTCAATTGTAAATGAATTGACTTTTTCTGAAGAATGTTACCCCCAACAAGAAGATGAGTAGTGCTTGGGGAGAATTATTAAGTATGGTATGTTTTAGAATGACCCAAGTAAAGTTTTGACTTTGTAAGAGCTAAATCTGCCTATTACAGGTCTTTATTTTGGTTTCAAATGTTATATAAATTATTATTTAGACATTTATTAACACGACAAGCCTATTATCAATTCTATAGACCACTGGACGGCCGGGATTCAAACAGATTAGAAAACTTGCAAGATTTAAAACTTTAACAATAAAATGGATAATGGAATAACTTAGACTAGTTTGTCTAGTACCATTGCTACTCTACATCTATTCAAACCTTCCACACTCATAACTTTGCTCAGAATAAAATAATGTGAATGAAATTTTCCAAATATTCATTTCTCACTATCAATTTTGAACTATTATATCAAGAACGACCAACTCTATATCTAAATCTTATATAATGCATCTTTAAGAGTCCTCAAGAGCAAAATACAATAAATAGCATAAATAGTTCTGATTCTCGAGTACCACAATAAAAAAAGTCTTGATTTTCAATTGTAACGTTTAATGATGATATGGCAGACATTGTCTAATTCACTTAATAGCCCAGCCATCCAATGGGCTATAGAATTGATTATTGTCTTGTCATGTGAATAAATGTCTAAATAATAATTTAAATAAATTTGAAGCCAGAAAAAAGACCTGCAGTTCGGCATATTTCACAATGGTATGTTTACTCACGATTAATTAGGTCAATCAATCGAACCTGACACATATATTTAATGCTTTTATCAAAAAGGATGATTAAATTATTAAACCAAGAATAAATGAAATAACAGTAGAGTAATAAGAAGCCATTTGAATACAATGGTGGAATCAAAGACATTATGTGCCCATGTGTATATACAGGTAGTAAACAAAGACAGCAAATTGATGCACTCTATTTAGAAACAACAATAGGCAGATGCTTTAAAAGAGTTTATCTAACATCAAATAGGTGTCATTTACAAGCTATTTCTATGACAATAAAAATTACTTTATTCATAGATTAGATATACTGGCATTGGGTTGTTGCTCTAGGATTAGTTGGTTGTCATTGTTATTAGCCAAGCAATCTCAGCAAGTTGTTTAAAGATACATTATGGGAGATTAGATAAAGAGCTGGCAGTTTTCACTATAATAGTTAAAAACTAGATAATGTAAAGGGAATTTGCTGAAAATTTCAGTCAAATTGATCCACTCTGAACCAAGATTTTAGCGATTGAATTTTCGACCTAGTTAAAAACTAGAAAATATAATGGGAATTTGCTGCAAATTTCAGTCAAATCGATTCACTCTGAACCGATATTTTAGAGATTGAATTTTCGGCCTAGCCTCAGTCATTATTATTAAAGTCTGTACCATAAAGAACATAGTCTCGATTATCCATGTCATGATTAAATCATGAATAGAAGTCGAACAACAAATCAGAACCTAATCCAATAAACATCGCAGGCTAGCGATGACATCGAGAGTTGATTATGGTTTGGATAAGTTAATTAATGTCTAATTAATAATTTAGATAACATTTCAGGTCTAAAGAAAGACCTGCAACAGGCAGATTTAGCTCTTGCATAATGTATGTTTAAGAATACTCTGACCTGTAGGACATTTATAATTATCAGTAGGGGCTCACGGTGGCTAAGTGGGTAAAACGCTGGCTCGCTAGCCTGGAAGTCGGGTGTTCGATCCCTGCATTGGCCGAAAAAGTTCATCCAGGTTTTCTGGCTTGGTTCCCCCTTGTCAGTGATACAGGAAAGAGGGCCTGACAAGGACAGCTATCTAGTCATTCGGATGGGACGAAAAACCGAGGTCCTGTATACACATTGGTGTGCACGTAAAAAATCCCTTGACAGTTGGAATTCAATATACGAGTAGGCTGTAGTGCCGCTGTCTGGGCAAATTTCCCCGTTCGGAGCAGAACAGTAGGACGTTAAACCCCCATTTCATTTCATTTCATTTCACAATTATCAGTAGCATGGCATGATGGCAGCAACAAGGATGCATGACTAACTTTTAATCAGGGTCCTTCCTACAAGGCAAACCTTCGGACAGGACACAATATGCACAGGCACCTCAACAACAAACGCATGGTGCTAGCCGTAAGCGTGCACTGCAAATAGGACACTAGACTCTAACTAAAGTTTTTTAGGTCATCATTCTGATTATCTGAAAAACCACTGTGAATCTGACAATTAAAGATACATGACTAGGGTAAATAAATATCTCCAAATATCTCGACAATTACGCCACAATATTTATATATAATATACCAAGCCTTAAATTAGTTTCACACAATTATAGTCACTAAATAAACGATCATGTTGTACTTAATAAGCTATGACCATTTAATCATCTATAAATAATAGACTGAAATTGGTTCCAAGTTTCGTCCATAGCATCCAGACACTTTTGAGTAAAAGATAGGTTATGTGCCCTTGTTTTGAAATTAGTCTTGCTTAATCAGTGTACCGACTATTCTACGTCTGATTGACAGGTTGGGATAATCAAGACTACCTTTTTACGAAACATAACAGAAAGCTGGAACAAGAAATTGAATTTAGAAACACACACGTTAGCCAGCTCACCAATTGTTTTGAGAAGCTTGTAAAAGTAAAATGAAACTATTGTTAGTATCATGTTCCTGCTAACTAAAGTGATTCAGAGATATTATTTGTACTAAACCAAAAGATGCCGCTCTTAACGGTACAGTTAATGATAAAGCAATTTAAAAAATAAAACGAACATAATTTCTAAAGCTGCTGTAATAACCAAGAAGCTAAATTTTACTGCTATTCAAAATCGTCAACAATAGATTTTTTACGGCTGTAATAGTTGATAGATTTGTAGAGAATTGCACGTGCCATGGCTATTTATAGTATCATACACTCCACCGCTGATAGTTCGAGACAACCACTGAAGCGTACACATTAGCCGTGTCGAGACCAACTTTCTGTAGAGTGCATGCGTCTCCCTAACATGACAGAATAGTACAATGTGTTGTGACCAATATGATTATCTTTTTAGAACACCTGATATCACTTTTCAAATAGCTTTGTATCTGTAATGTTGGTAAAATCATACAATCTGACCACCAAAAAATGTGGAAAACTCAAAGGTTAGTTGATTCTCTGTCACATATATAGTAATAGAATGTGCCACAGAAATGAAATGAATGGGATTTAACATCTACTTTTCTACACCAACCAGGCTAATGAAGACGTGCATACACCATACAGTGTGCTACAAGGGACATTTTGCTCAGACTGCCACGCTTCCGCTTTGTTGAATTCCAACTGCCAAGGGTTCTATTATGTGCATGCCAAAGTCTACATAGGACCCCAGATTTCTACCCCATCTGAAGGACTAGACACTGTTCCTTGCCAGGTTCTCCTTCATGCACCACCGACAAAGGAAAACCAAACTTCAAAATCCACAAACGACTTTCACAACCAAGCCCAACACCAAAATTCAACCTGGAGCTTCCTGGCTAGTTATCCAGCGTCTTAATTACTCACTGACCACCATGGTTCCGGAAAGTACCACAGCTCAGACATTTTTAATTTAGTAATCTTTACTAATGTCAACTACCACTGAGCTGTCTGTAATGTTCAAATGACATAATTGTTGTTATGTTCCCTTGTCAACTATCATAATTAGATGTATTTAAATATATAATGATACATGAACCATTCTCATTATATAATCATGTGATTTCTAAGAAAAACAAAAATTGATGACTGGGTTTATAATCAATCATGAATAAATAAAAATAGTATTGGAAAAAAAATACAACCAATAATATTCCCTTACCTGAACAATTCCTAATCCAATTGCCAGGAACATATAGAACTATTGAACAGAAGATCCATCTCGGCTAAATTCTAACTTCCAATTGATCAAATAGTGTTTCCCTACACTAATAGCCCTTGATGTGATTGCACATTGACATTATCAACATACTATATACCTCAAATGAATAGTGTTTAGACAATGAGATAGATAACAACAGGTTTACTTTGGCTTTCCCGCATACAGAGTAACGATTAGGTGATTACAAATACCAGTGAAACAGAGACAAGATAAATACATGTTCATGAAGGCTACCCACACATATATATATATATATATATATATATATATTAACAATGTTTATGATTTGATTTAGCTGTTGTAATCTGGTCATTTCATAACTGGCTTTCATGTAAGAATATTAATGAGTCCCAACATCGGATTTCCATAGGTAGTTAATTAGTATCTTGACTTGTCATTGTGTCAAATCATCATTGCAAGTGTATATATATAGGCTATATGTAATCTATTACTTACAAAATAGTGTTCAGGCTCCATAAACTATAGATACTTGTAAACTATAACAGTTTTAACTATAATTCACAGAGATTATTGATAAAAAATATTTTGCATTTCAATTTTATCTTGTCGGGAATGTACTAGGATAGGTACAAAATACAAAAACACGTCAAAAATTTAATAGCTCTATAAACTCCTCAAATGAGAAGTGGTATCAGGATCAGGTGTTGCAGAAAGGGTAAGCATACCCTGCTTTGTGCATGACACACATGATCCATATATACTTGCAACTTACTTGAGCAATACTTTGAAAAAGTAAATTACATATTATGATTGATGAAGGCTGTAAAAATAGCTGTCTGAACGTTCAAAATCAAGGATTTGTATATAAAACAATTTTCAATTTGAAATAAAAACATCACTCATACTTGATCAAACATAGTAGTATCTATCAGAAAAATGTCATGCAAACAAAATGGCAAATGAGAATAATATTGTCGGACATAATCCAAACATGACAAAAAAACATCCATAAATGTTATAGTCAGGAAAATTTATTATCTTTTATGATAAATTTTCTGCAATGAAAAGACAACAAAACAACACATTTTCTTTATATCAAGTAGAACTTATGGGACCTATTCCCAGATGTCAAAACTGGTTTAAACATATTTTAAATATAGGAATAACAAAATGCGATTTTGTGTACAGGAAGTTACGGTCCGATATGCACGAATATCGAAAGGAACTGAGATGTTTTGGATATAGACATATGTGACTTTTGGAGGGTCCACAAACTTGGTATTTACATACTTTCACGCTATGTAGCAGCCATTTTGTCAAGCAGTTTTGGTCCGATTTTCACGAGATTTGAACTCAACCATCATTAGTGTGTAATGGTGATATATTTACACAGTTTATTAAATCAGATAAAAATTGTGACCTCTAGAGGTTCTACAAGCTAAAAAAATGTTCGTACAGTCAGGGGCCATAATCCAGGAAGTTACGGTCTGAAATACACGAATATCGAAAGGAAAGGAGATCTTTGGGTTATAAACATACATTTCAAGTTTCATCAAAATCTAATAAAATTGTTACTTCTATTACATACTTTTAGACTATTTGCGTACAAGAAGGGGGTATTTTATCCTGTAGTTGCAGTTTCGGTCTGATTTTCACAAAATTTGAACTCAACCGACATTAGGTTGTAACACTGATATATTCAAATGTTTTTTTTTAAATCGGATAAAAATTGTGACCTCTGGAGGGTCAACATGCTAAAAACTGGATGATCCGATATGCGTGAATATTGGGAACAGAGATATTTGGGATATAAACATATATTTTAAGTTTCATCAAAATTGGACAATAATTGTGACCTCTAGCGGGTTCACAACCTCGGTATTAGATACTTTTACAATATTTGCGTTCAAGAAGCTGCCATTTTAACGGGCAGTTGCAAAACTCAAACTCAATCATCATGGGGTGCAACGGCGATATGTTTAAAATCAGATAAAAATTGTGACCTATAGAGGGTCCACAAGCTAAAATCGCCATTTTTTTTCGGGTCCAATATGCATGAATATCGAAATGCAAACTCTCTCTATTAAAGTCAAACCGCCACTTAAAAAAAAAATAAGCATGTATCCTGCCTAGTTGACAGAGTCTGTCATAACAAGATAAAATGGAATAATATCTGCAGTGATCTATGGAAGCAACTCATAAGGGTATTGAAATTGTAAGTATCAGCGTTTGTGTTTGGTAATATTTTACTTTCATCATCTACCAATATCACTTGATCAAATCAAAGGTGTTGAACAAGAAGAATTTTATCAAAGTTATAAATTAACATAAATAATAAAGTAGTACAAGAATACAGAAACTACTTCAGTATGGATTATTCTCGCCACAGGGGAATCTACAACACAAAACCAATTGGTATTCAACTACGAATGTGTAAAGAGTTAAACAATATTTGTGAGGCAATCAGGATGAATTTATTGGTTTGTCAGCATTTATCACCCAAATTTTTCCATCAAGGAGTTTAAAGTCTTTTGTGGAATTCTAAATTGACTTAGAAATATATTTTATGATTAGTCCAAGACAACATAATTATTTTCAGTATCCTTGGAAACGTGAACATTTGAATTTTTAATGATAAAATGACCAATTAGTATTTACTATACTATATTAATGAATCATCAATTGATAATTATTAATACAAACTACAATGCAATTATCTCTTTGCTCTCCATGAATGTTATTTTCGATATTGACAATTTGTGACTGTAAAGGTTATTGCGATAATAACCTCCGTGCATATTTTAAAATTGCAAGCAAGAAAAACAATAATATACAATGAAAGAAGGTATTACTGTCAGATTCAAAAATAACATTTACAGTGAAAAACGGTCTAATTGTATAGTTTGTAGTTCTAACCCAGAATTAGTTAAGTCGTTAACATCCATCAAACATTTGGCTACACTTTTCAAAGTTCAGATTGCTCAATATATATCTAAATTTCTCATTGTCTCTTATGTTGTCCGTCTTCATTAGCCCAGTTCAGAGCAGAGCAGTAGGACGTTAAACTCCATTTCATTTCATTTCATTTCTCTTATGTTGTCAAGCAAATATGCAAAACAATCTGGAGGGTTGGATGGCCGAATGATTAGCGTGTGTGCATTGTATCATAAGGCTGTTTTCCGTAAGTATACATGTGTTAAAGTTTATTACACTATCCAATAGTTTTGATTAACAACCACATCAATCAAGGGCAATAACTCAAAGCAGTAGACAATGCTACTCACATGGGGGCATATTAAAATGCATTTTAGGAAGTGAACAAGTAGTAATGAACTGAACTTCTTTGTTTCACTAATTTCAACAATAAATATAAATTTCTAGCAGATTATAAGATAAAAACATTTGTTGCTAGAGTATTCACAAGACTATGTAGTGAACATGGATCATAATTCAATAGGCTTCTTTGTTTCACTAATTTGACCAACGAATATAAATTTCAAACAGAAGGGACGATAGCATTTGTTGTTAGGGATCACAAGATTTACTGACAAAGGATGGGTCACATCAATATGGATGGGATATGCAAATATACAACCACTTTTCAATGTGGGCGTATAAGTAACCAACTAACAATAATGACAATGGGTTAATATGAATGGTAAATAAAAACTATATACATGAAAGAACTTACCTTTTTACTTGTATGATCTTTTTCTCTGTAACTTTTCTGTGACTCATCTGATCCAGATGTCAGCTCTACATTTCAATCTGCCACTTTCAATTTCTTTCCTTTATTAAACAACTTTCAATTTGTTTTTCCAATATTTCAACATGTTTCCATCATCCCATTTTCATTTTCTAAATGTTGAAATGTTGTCTGTCTTCCAGTGACTTCAAACTCAATGATCAATTGGACTTAAATATGAACGTTTTGTTCTGTCAATCAGGCAAAGACTTTCTTGAAAAGGTTAAACAAAACTATAGTTTAGAATGATTATTGGTTAGATTAGTGATTAGATTTTATTGAATCAGATTAGGCAGTTCACTTAGTTTAATTAACTAATACTCAACTAATGTCTAGTACATCAGTCCATAAACTGTAACTCAACAAAACTGAATTAGTATCACTTCATGAAGGTCTTATTTTAAACTATGACACATACTTATGGAAAACAGCTACTAATTTATTTGGGTGTAGCATTGATAGAATACTCTACGAAATATCATATCGCCCAGACAGTTTTCCATAAGTATGCGTTATAGTTTATTGCACTATCCAGTTACTAAATGCCTCTAACAGATTATTACTAGCATACTAGTTTCTGTCAGCTTCAGTCAAATTACTTATATAAAAAACAAAGATCGCACATTAAATTGATGATGATGATAATATTGATAAAAAGAATAAACATTGTCTTATATAGCACTAGATTTCTAACCAATGCATTCCCATTTGAATAGTGATATTGAACAGAGTTTAAGTTCTATCCAGATTTAATCCGTCAAGACATTTAATCCTCTGAAGACCTGTTGCTCTGACAGTCAATAATCCTGACAAGAAATACAGCCTCAGAGAAAAGGAAGCTGTCTGGTAATCTGAGTGTCACAATCAGTGATGTTTTTGTCTCTAAGGAAAGGCTACACCTAAGTATATCTAATTCATCTAAATGACAACATTTTATCAAGCATACAGAACATATTATAAAGCCAATTCACATATTTATTCATTTTGATGAAAAAATATAAATAAAATACTTACAAATCTTGTTCATTGAATGAATTAGGGTTTAGCGTCCTACTTTTCTGCTAAAAATACTCATATGCCATGCAGTGTGCTATAAGGGAATTTTTTCCTGGACTGCAGATGAATTCTAAGGGTTCTTTTATGCACAAATCAAGGTGTAAACAGGACATCCGTGTTTTGTGAATCTCATCCAAGCTGCTTATTAGCCACCGATTGAATTCCAACTGTCAAGGGTTCTTTTACGTGCACACCAAGGTGTAACCAGTAGCTACGTTTTTTGGGAATCTTGTTCAAGCTGCTTAGGCAAATTAGCTTATTTATCATAACATGAAGCAAATACATGTACATAGAATATGATGTGACTTCTATCTGTTTCTATTAATACTAGACATCCTGCTGATAATTACATGGACTCAATTTAATCTTTATGAAAAGTAATAATCGGTATTGACTAACATCAATCTACACCTTCCTAA